AGCCAATGATGTGGAGACAGAGCAAATAGTTATCGATGAAGAAGCTGGGTCATGCAAAGGAAAGATGAGTTCTGTTGTACAAATGAGGGGTTCCATTCCCCTTTTCTGGTCACAAGAAGCCTCAAGATTCAGCCCTAAACCTGATATTATATGTGAGTAAAAATGATTTTTCATGTCGTCTCTGTTTTATTTAATCTTAAATTTTGAAGTCCAGTGCTATTTGCGGCAGATTTTAATATTTGAATGTCATTGCTATTTATTATTTGAAGTGCAAAGATATGATCCTACATATGAGGCGACCAAACTGCATTTTGAAGACCTGGAAAAAAGATATGGCAACCCAATTATTGTTCTTAATCTAATTAAGGTTTGTTTTATTTTATTCTGGCGTGTTAAAGATTCAAATGATATTCTTCTAACTGTTTTTTGTTGAAAGATGGATTTATGTGTTTCTGTATCAAATTTTTGGTATATATACTTTCTCTTTTTTCTTACCTTTTTATGGGGATCTGATCACAGACTGTCGAAAAAAGGCCACGAGAAATGATGCTGAGGCGTGAGTTTGCAAATGCAGTGGGGTATCTAAACCAGATACTTCCAGAAGAAGAACATCTCAAATTTATTCATTGGGACTTTCACAAGTTTGCAAAGAGGTATAATATGGGTGATTTTGACAGTGCATAGACTTTTCTCCCTTGTCTCCACTAACAGTTCTTGAATTTCTTTCTTTTCTTTTTCCAGCAAGTCTGCCAATGTATTGGCAGTCTTGGGTGGAGTTGCAAGTCAAGCACTTGATTTAACAGGATTTTATTATAGCGGAAAACCTTTGGTTGTTAAAAGAAGGGCTTCACAACTAACTCGTACTAGCACTGGGAGGTATTATTCATTCTATTTTTCATGATCTACTCTATATTTTCTCTAGAAATCTCAATTTAACTATTATTTCTGAATTTATAGTAGTGAATCCCTTCTTTTCAGGTCCAGGAACAAAATCAGTACATTAGTTATTGTTTTTCTTTTTCCTTCATATTTCATTCGTTACATCTTTAAATCAAACATGAAACCCCATTTGCGCAGGGAATCTTCTCTTCGAGATTTAAGATCTAATTCAGTTGAGCTATCAAGAGTTGGTGGTGGCACTGATACCTCAACCAAGCAAGGTAAAGTGTTCGAAAGTAAACAACAGAGCCAAAAGGACATCAACAGTAATTCAGAGCCGAGATTTCAAAGCGGGGTTCTGCGTACAAACTGCATCGACTGCTTGGATAGGACAAATGTTGCCCAATACGCTTATGGCCTTGCAGCTCTTGGCCGCCAGCTACATGCATTGGGCTTGACAGATATTCCAAAAGTGGATCCTGATAGTAGCATTGCAGCTGCTCTTATGGACATGTACCAGAGCATGGGTGATGCCTTGGCTCAGCAGTATGGTGGCTCCGCTGCACACAATACTGTAAACTCCTCTTTTATAAATGAAAAACGAGTGTTTTTATTTATTTTGTATTTTATTATTATTATTATTGTTTTATTATTTTTGTTATTATTTTAACTATATTTGTGATGGATAAAATTGTGACTAAAGGGTTGTTATATAGGTGTTTCCTGAGAGACAAGGGAAATGGAAAGCTACGACCCAATCTAGGGAGTTTCTGAAGTCTATAAAGCGATATTACAGTAACACTTATACGGATGGTGAAAAGCAGGATGCAATTAACTTGTGAGTTATAATTTTCTCTCCTTTTTCCTTTAAATATACTGGAGTCTTCTTATATTAGTTTTTGATTATTGAGGTAGATTTAGCTTTTGGAACTCTTGGACTTCTACTGAGCCTTTTTATCAATTCTATTTTTCCTGTTTTCAATTATATGTCTGTGTGTTACTTTCCAACTGTAAGTGCTCTTGGTTTAAACAGATTCTTGGGATACTTCCAACCCCAGGAAGGCAAACCTGCATTGTGGGAGTTGGATTCTGATTATTACCTTCATGTATCAGGGATTGGAGATGATCTTCTGCCCGATAGGTAATAATTATAATTTTTAAGTATTTACCGAATCACCTCAACTAATATGTGAAGATAGATTCATAATGCTTTGCTATGTGGTCTTGTATTCTATTTGTAGTTGCACCGTAGAAAATGGTTGTCAAGTGGAACAGTTATTCGTAATTCCAATTTTGTTGAATATTTCATGCAAGATTATTCTTTTCTGTGAACTAATATTTTTCTGTTTCTTCTGTAATGTTTTCCATTAAGTTTGGGTGACAGTCCTTTCGATGATGTTAAGCCTTCGGGAAAAAGAGTTCCTTTGGCTCCAATTCCAGCTTGTAGGGAGGACTTTTCGCGCATGAAGTTGACATCGTTTGATAAGCTGATAGAAAGAACATGCAGTTGGATCAAGAATGTACGACTTTCCAGTGACCTGGATCAGAAGTCGTCTGGAAGCTTTGGTGTCGCACCAGATGCAGCGTATGTGTCTTCTCGAACATATAACTTTTTTGGGTTGCCTGAGATTTTGGGTAAATAAGTAATAAACAAAGCAAAAGAAAGAAAAAGAAAAGGAATTGAGATGGTGACGATTCAAAATTTATCAAAATACAACAGTTACCCTCTTAGATCGATGCTCCAGGATATTTTTCTTGTATACCAAAGTTTCTTAATTTTTNTAAATAACTCAAATCCCAAGGGTAATTTCTTTAAATAACTTCTTTACGCACTGATATTATCTCTAATTTGAAGTACCAAAAAATCAGAAGTTTGACATTCTGATTCTGTATACGGATTAAGTGACAATAGGCTTTAAATTTCTGCAGCGAAATACAGCTCAAGAGTCCGAATTGGCTTTTTGGCCAGAGAAAATATGAGGATCCTAGGTCGGCTCCAAAGCTGACTTCTGATGAAGTTGCAAATGGGAATGCTGATAACGAGAATACAATTGACAGATTATGTGACCTTAATTTGTTCTCACCTGTTGTCGAGAGCAATGAAGAAGATGTCTTCCAACAGTAAGTTCCTTCATTTTCTTTCACTTCATTTCCCCAACACGATTTTGATTTGTGGTGAAAAAAGGCCATTAGCATATTAATTTTTACATTCTGCCTCAATTTCTATTTAATTTTTTTCTTTTTAATATTTTCGTAGATACCTAGCCATGACAACAGTCGACGAGACTAACGGGTGGTATGGTGGCACACTGCTAGGTGATCAAGACGAAAACAGTGAGATTTATCAGCATTATGCAGAACTTATTCAGGTACAGAAAGATTCAAACCCGGTTTTGAGAAATCTTGATATTTTCAAAATATTACATAGGTACACTTGACATGCATTTACTTGTAAAGGATGATTACCCATAAATTGAAAACCCGGAAGTTTTTAGTTTTAGCTAACTACAGAGATAAAGGAAAATGTATTCAATAATCAAACAAAGAGAGAACAGTAATCGTCTGCGAAATTAAAAAGCTGTTTCTTGAAAGGTTTTCCCCCCTTCTGGTGCGAATTCGATACCTTTGGGGGTCGCTTCGTAATTAGCCCAAAACTCGGTGAATTTTCCACAGTTTTAACTTAACCCCACTATCCTTGATAATCTTCTTACACATTACATCAACTTTAATTCAGTCCACTCACATAATTTTAATTAACCATCATTTCATATCATCTCTCTCCTACTTTTACATCAAATCAACTTTAATTATTTTGTTTTAAATATTATTTTAATATAAACTCAAACTTCCACTAACAACTAACCATACCACTTTTTTTTCAAGATTAACCATGGTTAACGAAAAATAAAAAACATCCTCAATCGAGTACTTCTCCCTTTTTTTTTCCTTGCAGGGGCCCACGATGGAACCCTTTGAGAACGACAGTGAGAAGGAGAAATACTATGCAGATCTCGTTTGTGTGAACAAGTTCGACTTCACGGACAATACTGTTACAGAGGCAGAAATGGAAGGCGCTCTAAATGCGTATGCCCGAGCAGGTGCCGATCTTGGAATATTCCCAAAGTCATGCAACACACAGATTCTTGACCCGAGCCAACTGACGAGATGGATTCTTGGTGAAGATAGGCTACACAAGCTATGAAAAGCTCTGTAATTCTTGCTCACCCCTTAAACAAAAGGGAAAAAAAAATGTGCCTATGTGTATATATTGGATGATGGTCATGAGGTGGGCAATTTGGGTATTCTTTTGCATATTGATGCTATAAAAACTTTAGAGATGTGAAATAGTATAAAAATTGTAAATTTGGTGTTTTTCATTTGTCTTATATATTTTGAATTAAAGTTGTGAATAATTTTGTGCATTGTGGCAACTTGGTATGACATTTGATGTGGAGTAATTGTAAACAAAATATAATGAGGAGATTATGTTCTAAGCCCGATTATAAGCTGCATATATAATCATAGTTTAATGTATTGTATATTTTCAGAATCAGCGTATGTATATATTTCAATATTACATGCCTAATATAGTTATGAACCAATCGTGTGCACATAAATAAATGAAAGAAAAAAAGAGAAGGACAAAGGAAAAAATAAAAGTTGATTACAATTTTTTTCCTGGCCAGGATTTATCAATTGAAACTAAAAATGAATCAAAAACTGTTTTAAATATAATTTATTTATTTCATCTTACTTTTCTATATAAATCCTGGTAACACAATTTAAATAATAATATTATTATGTATTTTTTAACAAAAATATTATTCATCAACTCTGCGTTTCTAACTACTAATTTTATGAATTAACATTTTATTATTATTTTCATTCTCTCAGAATTATTTATTATATTTTACTTTTTCATCAGACAAGTGGGGAAAGAACTTTTATCCAATTGCAATTTGCATGTGAGTCCCAGTTCCCTTCACAGTAGTGCTGAATCACGTAAATAACTGGACTGGTCTTCTCATCACACAGGCTAATTTGGGCCTGTTCCATAACCCAATTTAGTGAAGCCCGTTATATCAAACATATACATACAGCCCAACTCGGCCAATGTTCAGCAGCCGCTCAGGTACAACTCTAGCAAATGGAAGACATTGAGGATTTGTTGGCCGGCGGCGCCGGCGGAGCGCCGCCGGGTTTCCGTCTGGTGGTTCCAGCTGCCGTAGGTGTCAAGCCAAGGAAGAAGCCTTTGCAAGATTCTCTTAAGAGCTACGATACAGCTAAAATCCCTGGCACTCAGGTGAGCTTCTCTTCGGATTTAGTTTTGCTAATCAATTGTAGTTAAATTACTCACTGTTTTATGTTACTTTTCTTTCCTTTTTTCTTTCTTTTTGTTAGAAGTATTGATTTTTATGATGTTGGATTGTGCAATTCTGAATTTTTTGTATGATTGGCAGACAATCTACATGAAAACTTTCGGCTGCTCACACAATCAGGTAAACTTTTCTAAGCTGAGGATTTGTTTTCTAGCTGTTTTCTTTGTTTCAAACTGCGAAGTGAAAGCAGTATGTAGCGAAGTATTACCCATTGCCTTTGTTCTTCATGTGGTTTAATCTAGTGGTGTTTTCTCACTTAGTTGTTACAAGTCGTCCTACTGATGGATTGAAAAGCTCAGATCTTAACCTTTATTGTTGCCTGTAAGTAAAGGTGGCATATTTTTTGTCTTCCAATAGCTGTCACGTGTTAGTGGGGAGTTTGTTTATATTTTACAGAGTTTGGTTATCCAAAGAAAGGCATACATTGCAGGATTAGCTCATCCACAGTGAATCGTGTGGCCATCTGCTAGCAGTCATGTGAATTGCGGAAAGTAGACATTCAAAAAATTGGAGGAACTCTTAGAGGCGTTGCTATTGTAAAATGATTTATAACTTTGTGGTGGTTATGCAATTTAGCTTCTTTTCACATGTAGCGAATGGTTCAGCCATTTCAGCTGGCTGCGGTTGAACGAAAGAGATCAGTTAAAGAGGGTACTAATCAGAAATGAACCGGAAGTTCAAGCTGATTGCACTTAGAATTATTTCCCTTCATGGGTTGTAGGATCTAACAATCTAAATTAGATCAGGGGTGTAGTAACTCATGCTCCCCATTTCTTCCCTTTATTTAAGCTGTGTATGTCTTCCTAGTGAGATTGAGGTTTTCATCTATATTTAATACATTTCTAAACTCCAATTTTCAGAGTGATAGTGAATATATGGCGGGGCAGCTTTCTGCATTTGGATACAGTTTAAGCGAAAATCAGGATGAAGCAGACCTATGGCTGATTAACACGTGAGACCCTTTCATGGCCTTTTCTAGTTATATCTTCTTGGTTCCTATAATTTGCTGAATGGGAGTGTGTGTAGACCGTCAAAAGTCTCTGTTTCTAACATCTTAAAGATTTTGGATACTTATCTTCACATCCAACAATTTGTTTTATATGATGGAAGAAGACTTATTCCCAACCAAATATTATTTTTGGGCAAATAAAATCTCTTTTGATATGGCTTTTAGAAAAATCAAACTGTATATTATAGATATTTACTGCTATTGCAATTTGTGTCCGAAGATAGTTTCCCTAGTTGTGATTGATGGGTGCATGTGTGAGAACTTTCATGTCTTCAAACTTAGTTTTTGGTCAACTTTTTAGCATGCCCATGCTCTTTCTTTTGCAGCTGTACAGTTAAGTCTCCCAGTCAGTCTGCCATGGAAACACTTATAACTAAATGTAGAAAATCAAAAAAGCCTCTTGTCGTTGCCGGGTGTGTTCCTCAAGGAAGTCGTGATCTAAAGGAGCTTGAAGGAGTGAGCATAGTTGGAGTGCAGCAAATTGATCGAGTGGTAGAAGTCGTTGAGGAGACCCTGAAAGGACATGAGGTGCGGCTTTTGACTCGGAGGACATTACCAGCACTTGATCTCCCAAAGGTGCGAAAATATTGTTTTATTTTACCTACCACCATGATGTAATTGTGATTCAGTATGTAAATGATATTCTAGAGATGATTTACATTTTAAGTCTCTTAATTGAAACACTTGTTTTTCAAGTCGTGTTAGGCTCATTGATTTTCATCTCCTCTGCTAATGTTTTTGTTGTTATTATTACTACTTCTACTACTATTTTAATGATTCACTTCTTTTCAGGTTCGAAGAAACAAGTTTGTCGAGATCCTTCCAATTAATGTTGGGTGTTTAGGTGCTTGCACCTATTGCAAAACAAAACATGCTCGTGGTCATTTAGGAAGCTACACAGTTGATAGCCTTGTAAGTCCGAGAGTACAGAGAAAATACTTGAACTGTCAATTATTTTTAATTATAGTATACTCAAATCATATTTATGGCCGTAGGTGGGTCGTGTGAGAACTGTTATAGCCGATGGAGTCAGGGAGATCTGGTTAAGTAGTGAAGACACTGGAGCATACGGTATGCAGCACCTACTTTCTTCATCATAACTTGTCTAACCTGGATAGAATGAATTAACGAATAATAGTTTGAGAAATTATGTGGACATTTCAGCTCACTGAAGTTGCTTTGGCTTTCAAATTGTCATAAGATGTTAATTATTTAATAGCAAGAAACTGTGACAGGAAGCAGGTGTTACTTGAACAAGTTCCAATCATTTCAGTGGATATTATTTAAGTGACTATTTTATGTCTGGCTTGACTCTGACAGATAAACGATTAGATTTTTTTTTTTTTTTTTTATTTTTTATTTTTTGGATGAATGATGGATGAATGCTTTCAGTTTATGGTGTTGACTTGTGTATTTTACAGGTCGTGACATTGGAGTTAATCTTCCAATTTTGCTAAATTCTTTAGTAGCAGAGCTGCCTTCGGATGGGAGCACAATGCTCCGAATTGGAATGACTAATCCTCCTTATATTCTGGAGCACTTGAAAGAGATAGCCGAGGTTTTGCGCCATCCTTGTGTTTATTCTTTTCTTCATGTACCAGTTCAGTCAGGAAGTGACACCATCTTGACTGTAAGTACTGAACCACATCTTCCTACAACATTTGTTTGCTTGTGCGTGAATTGTCGTATTATTACATTCCTTGATACCATGGTGAACTGAGATTGTTTAAACTTAAAATTCAGGCGATGAACCGGGAGTATACTGTGAGCGAATTTAGAACAGTGGTTGATACATTAATTGAACTAGTTCCTGGGATGCAGATAGCCACAGATATTATATGTGGATTTCCTGGTATGGTTTGGTATCGTCACTCACTTCTTTATGTCAAATAATTACAAGTGAATCAATATTTTAAATCAATAAGTTAACATTTCCGTGTATTTAAAAATTTTATTGTTTGACAAGTCTGGGTATGGATAACAACCATTGTAGTTTCTTTATTTGATTAAAATTCATAGGATTAGTTTGGAGGTTATTATGTCTATTTAAGATAGTTCATCGTATCCTTCTTGACAGATCTAAAAAGTAGTGCCTGTTTTTGGAAGATTACTTTTGGGGAGCATATTTTTTTCCAGCTAATATGAGGGATTTTGGTTTGATTATTTATATGATGATTGTGGTAAGCTGTTTTATGACGGTCCCGACACAATGACATTTGTCATCATGTAAATTGTTCTTCTCTGCTTCTCAGGGGAAACTGACGAAGATTTTGAACAGACTGTCAAGCTAATCAAGGAGTACAAGTTTGCTCAAGTTCACATATCACAGTTTTATCCTAGGCCTGGTCGGTTTTGTTGTGTAGATATCGTGCAATTATGCGCGTGTGTGTGCGTGCGTGTGTGTAATTATATTGAGTTTCCTTGAACAAGAGCTTGGATTGTCTTTTGAAGCTGTCTTTTATTCTTATTTTACCTTTCATTTCACATCCTTTTGTTTCCAATGGTAAAATGAAGATATTACCATAGTATTTGCCATTTACTTTACCAACATATCCAACCAAGCAAAATTCAATTCCTTTTTTTCTGGTGGGAAATTAAATTTAGATTCAAAATATTCCGAAAAGCTCGAGTATGCAGATGGTCCTCCCTCGCATGATTTTGAAACGAATTCTTTGAATTTGAACGTTGAAATTTGTTCAAAATATGACTTGAACAGGAACACCTGCTGCAAGGATGAAAAAAGTTCCCAGTAACGTTGTGAAGAAACGTAGCCGTGAGTTGACTACTGTATTCGAGTCATTTACACCATATGTCGGGATGGAGGGGAAAATCGAGAGGATATGGATTACTGAAGTAGCCACTGATGGAACACACTTAGTAAGATCTTATTTTTCATTTTCTCGACCCATCACAACTGTCATTTACAACAACAACAACAACAACAACAACATACCCAGTATATTCCCAACAGGTTGGGGTCTGGGGGGTCAGTTGTACGCAGACCTTACCCTTGTAATTATACAAAGAGGCTGTTTCCGTAGCGACCCAAGGTGCATTGCGCCGTTTGATATATTTTTTTTTCTAGAAACTTCACTAATAGAAGAAGCACTAGAATTTAATTGAGCCATTTTGATCTAGTCCATTATTAGCACTATGCCAGGAGAATTGTCAACAATGACTCTTCCAGCTCCATTTGCAATGGACAAACCATCACAACTGTCATTTATTTTTCATTTAAGTAAAACTAATTATTTCTCTTACTTTTTTTCTGTTGCTATAGGTGGGCCACACAAAGGGATACATTCAAGTGCTAGTGGATGGGCCTGAAAGCATGTTGGGTTCTTCAGCTATGGTCAAGATAACTTCCGTAGGAAGATGGTCGGTTTTTGGAGAGGTGATTCAGATCCTAAACGAAACCGCGCACTTTCCCAAGAATCATGACTCTGTAGAAGAACACTCGTGTTCCAGCTTGAATGAAACCTGCTGTTCGAAAGAGGCTGAAACATGCGCCTGTGGATTGACATCAGGCTGTGGAAAAACCGAACAGGAAACTGTTTTCGGCACAAAGGATGTCCAAAAGCCGGAAGACAGCAGAAGCCAAAATCTAGTAGGATGGTTTTTAAGGAAGCGGAAGAACATTAGATCTCATAGGACGATAGAGAATGAGAGAAAATCGGAACTGGATGAGAAGCAAGAACCCTGTAGACAGGTTCATGACTGGAGTTCGGTTGATAAAGCCCTTCTTTTCGGAATAGTTGTGAGCTTATTGACAATAATTGCTATGCTTTGTATTTGGATCTACAGATTTCTCTAGTGGAATGATGCATAACTTGATTTTAGATTTCGAAACAGTATTTGTTCTGTGGGGATCTATTATTGTGTTGTAATGTTTTTTGTTTCCTACATTTCATACTGGCTGAACGTCAAATTCATGTTTTGAGAAGTTATGAATTCAGAATTCCTGTGAAGTTGCAGCAAATCATCGTTATTATTACACACCGATAGATATTGAAATATATATTGTTGTGCTGAGTACATGAAACTGAAGACAGGGAGAACCGTGGCCGGTTATCGAGCTTCAAACTTTCCAACTTTTAAAGCTTACCCTCACAGAAGTGAGTCTGACCTGGCAGGCAACCTCTTGAAGAAGTTGACAGGTGCTGGTGGCAGCTTGTACCGCATCCTCGGATGGCGCAACACGTAAATCCCGACAAGCAGAGCCACAATCTTGAAAGGTACAACATACAAAAACACAGCCATGATCAAAGAAAACACTAGAAAGATAGCAGTAGCCCTTGGATCTCTCCAGTTCAACAAGGCAAGTGCCCTCTCCCCTTGATTCGCCACGTCAGCTGCCACAGTCTGAACTCGACCCGCCACACTCCTCAACCTATCGTACCTCATCCTCACAAAGTCGCTCGGTTTAGTAGTGGGGAACGAATCAAATTCCTCTTCGAGTTCATCCGAGTTGGCATTCTCCGCCTGAGAAAGATTCGGGTCCATGTGGAGCGGATTCCTGGGCCTAAAACGGTAATTCCAAAGCCCGATTGCGAAAAGATAAAGAAAAACCGTGGGGAAAATCAGCTCGGGATAGCAGACGAGTATCAAGAACAAGATATGAACAAGGACTGTCGTAATCGGGTATTTCCACTGACATATCCCCTCGAACCACGCGCACGCGTGCTGAACTCCCGAGACAACCGTCATCACACGATGAAAATTGGCTTTGCTCCTCCGCAGGCTGAACAGCTGGTGGTCCACGTCAAGCATGTACTCGATGACCTCAGCCCGAAGCGGAGGCTCAGCCCGCGCCAGCTCAGCCGCCACAATATTCATCGCGTAGTGCCTCAGCAGATCGACATGCTTGACGTCTATCGGGTGCACGTAGTGCATTTTAGGCAGCAGCGGCCTCCCGTATTGGGCCAGCATGTGGGCCCACGCGGTGCACGTGAACCTCACCGCCAGGTGGACCTCTCCGTTTCGTTTCAGGCCCGACGGGCCCAAAACCAGGAGCGGGTACGTGTAGGTGTAAACCCGTTCTGCCTCCAGAGTCGACACCCGAATCCTCACCTTCCCCATCTTCTGGTCCTTTGGAGCACCCTCCCCTCCGCTGACCTGGCAGTTGTCGAAAACTCCGAGCGTGAAAACGGTGCACGGGTCGAAAACCTCCCACGTGTACTGCTCGTTCCACGTCGGGTGACAGCTGTCGAGAATCGTCCTCGTGCGGACCCACTTGCTCCCGTATTTTGCCACGCAGTACGCGTCGGTCAGCTTTCCCTGTTTCGCCTTCATCGCCGCGAGGTTCCGAGCGCTAAGTATCCCGATTTCGAGAATCCCGACACTCCGCTTTCTCAGCTGATTACCCGACGGCTGCCGATCGCTCCCGAACTGAGTCAACTCGTCCAGCACGTGATAACCCGCGTCTAACGAGAGACGGAGATGAACTCGGCTCGCGAACTTATCCATCTTCATCTCGATTTGATCCTCGGCTAGAGCCGGCCTCTGCAGCGCGAACCACTGCGTGTCGGGCAGTTTCGACTCGACTCGTTTTTTAACGGTCTTGACGGGTATCAGCACGCGCCCGATCACCTTCCCTTTATCCTCCACGCTCACGACTATATACTCGTTGAGTGGCTCCCAAGCGACGTACATGAGCTCCTCGTTCCACTCGGGGTTGACCGACCCTTTGACCGGACGTGTTATCCGGCTCTGTTTTCCATGCTGGACCCTCACGATTGGGTCGGGAGGCTTTGACTTGTCGGCTGGGACGAGGTCCTGGGCTTCGATGACGTGGACACGCAGATAGTACATTTTTGGGGTGAAGTACACTTTTGACCTTGTGCTCGTCAGGTTCTGCTGAGTCATGCTGTGCGAATCCGAATGCCACGCGTATGGGAACGCCTCGTCAGCCTGAGTACCCATCCAAACCGCGAGCATGATGTCACCATGTCTCAGCAAAACCCCGTTTTTGTCGTGCAGTTTGTACCACTGTGGCGCCAGAGGGCTGTCGGGAGCTACGCGTTTCGGGATTTCGTTCAAGTCGAACGTGACCCTCCCGACAAAATCGTCTCTCGAGAAGTCTTTGTCCTTCACATTCACCTCGACCGAGCTGCTCTGTAGCCTCTCCTTGGAGAAAGCGAAGACTCGGTTCCAAACCGGGTTATGGTTCTTTTCGAAGTGCTTGGTGACACCTTTGTAATTTCCGATTTTGACCTCGACGTACGGGTCGATGCTACCCGACACGTCGTTCGAAGGGAGGTCCGAGGCTTTCACGACTCGGACATAAAGAAAGTTCATGGGCTCGACCATGTCGTACATGCTAGCTGTCTTGTCTCGGCCCCAATAACCCAATCGAGCGGCTAAAGGTGGCTTCGTCTCGACTAAACCGTAGTCGGGCTTTTGAGTCGAGGGAGCCTTCATTTGCATTACGGTAGTAATAATACCGGTTGACGATGAGGAAACAGGCACTGATTTGCGAGGAGCAGCCGAGACCGAGTGGAAAGTCTTCACCTTTGATTCTTTTTTTCTTTCCTTGTGATCGGGATTTTCGTTCGACGAGTGGATTTTTAACGTGATTTCGCCCTTTGCTTGGGAAAAGAGACCCCTTTTCTCGAGAGGGTATTTGAGGAAAACGGATTCTTGTTCCGAACGAGAGATGGATGAGCCGGAAATGCGAACCTTTCCGAAGAAGTTGTTGTGTTTGCCATGGTTTTTGTCATTGTAAACGAAAACCTCGAGCGATCGGGTGGAGAGGTCGTTTGGGTTTTCAATGTCGAAAACGAGCTGCTCGTTCCAAGTGGGGTTTATGAGGTTATTGGGTTTGGTCGAGGTTCGTTTGCGCTGCCTGTCGAATTTTACCTCGACAAAAGGGCTCGAGTTTTCGTGGATGTTCTTGGGCACGAGGTTGCTGGCATCGAGCACCTCAACCACGAGTTTTGCTGCCATTTTTTTTTTTTTNCAGTAAAAATCTGGGGAGTTAAGGTGTGTTGAGGTTTTTAGAGAGAAAAAAGGGGCTGTGGCTGCAAAAGAGTTGTGAAGAAAGTGAAGAATGTGGGAGTAAAATGAGCATGCATGAGAAAATGAAGTGAGAGCTAAAAGGGTTTGCCTATTTTGAATTTTGATTTTTGCGTATTTGATTGAGTCCAAATGTATGTATATGTTGCATATATTGTATATTAGTACATAACATGTATCAGTTTGTGATCCTGTATGTGTAATGACAAAGTTTAACCTGAGATTTTGCTTGTTCATATAGAAGTGTTAATATTGGTTTTTTACTTTTTAGCCCTTAGTTTTTATTCAGAACTTGAACTACCACCCTGTTGACATTAAAATGAGGTTATTTAGTAATTTGCTTAATTTCAGGGTAATTTTAGATAGTCAACAATTATAGTATTTTCTTATTTAAAAAAAAAAACTCTTTTTTTTTGTGAAATTACTTTACTTTACTGCCATCTGAGATTCTGAATGCATCTCTTGGGAGGTGAAATCCTTTCTGTAGTGGTTTTTATTCGGTTTCCACTCATTTTTTATTGTCTGTTTGCATGAAAGTTTTAGAAAGAAAAGATTGAGAACTGGCCAGACTACTTCACTATATATTCTTCTGCTGCTTTTTCTTACAGCTTTTACTAGATTTTTGTCAACTTTGTGCTGTTTCAAATAAATAAAAAGGTAGAACACAATGTGCCTTTACTTCTATGTGCAGCCTAACAAATTAATGCTTCTTGGTTTGAAACATAACTCTCTTAAATTCTACACTTAAAACAGAAAATTTGATACAAGTATGTGCAATGCACACATCAAAATATTTGCCGTTAGATCAACAAACACCTGATCCAACAACAAATATTCCGATTTTTGCAGACGAATTTTCCCACTAATAGGTAGCTATTAGGGCTCATATAGATTACAATTGTAGTAGTATCAAAACACCCATCCAAAAAAGGAACCAAGAAAAAGAACAAATGAAATGTGCAAAGTGAAGATTAAATTATTGAAACTTGGGAAAGTTGCTTGCAAAGAAAAAAAAAAGGGCAAAAAGATATGTGGAGGATAAAATGGGGAATCTAGAAAAGGAAACAAAATGCATGTTCTCTCTATATATTGTTCTGTAGCATGAAATGTGGTTGCGACAGCATATGCCAGCTTTAGCCCATTTTTCAAAACTAAACTTATTAAAAAAACTCCTGTCCAAAATTACACTATTAGAAGTTTAGAACCCTAATTAAATATTTTTTAATTGATGCATAATTTTTATTGTGAAATGTGATTCTTTTCAAAAGAAGTAAATTGTTTTAGTTTGCTCATCTATTTTTCATATTCTATGACATTTCATTTAGAGTGAATTTACCGGACTAAAATCTTCACTTTCTAAGTTATAGTATAAAGAAAATAGTTAATCTATTTTGTAGAGTTCACCACGTGATTTCCGAAATATGTTGGCAATATTTGTACCATTGATTTTACTAATGTTATAACGAAAAGAGTAATATATGTTGTTATGCATATTTTCAATAACTCTAAAGATGAATATTATTATTCTTATTTTTGTTTCTATTTATTTTCCTATGGTCCTTGAGGGAGAATTGATCCTCTTGGATAAATCCATTGTGTGATAAAAAGTTAAAAAGTAAAAGTAAAGTTCTTGCAGAATATTGCCCAATGGATTTCTAGGCCTTTGGTATATTCAACTTTTTCTTTAAAGGGAATCATTTGGCAAAAGATTCTTTCAATGGATAATTGCAACACTTTTTCTTGTGCTCCGATTCTATACAGCAAAAACACAGTTATTTCCAGGCAAATTGATCCATCTCAATTGTATCAATCTCAACATGACTTGCAATTTCAGCCCTAAATGTAATTTGTACGACTTTCTGACACGGACTACCCAAAGAATATTATTGGGCTCAGCCCATCAGTCAACGGGCCAGCTGTGAGGCTTTCTGGAAGACAAGTTAGGCTTGATACGTAAATAAGCTAACACTTTTATATTTTACAAAAGCCAACACAAATTAAGCTTAGTTTATTTTTGTCTTTGGTATCTAAATTGCATTTTTTTTAGTTTATAACTCGTTTACGAAGGATTTAAATATAATTTTATATTATATATAACATTTTGCAAGAGTTTTCAAAAAGTGTAGGGGGTGGGAGGAGAGAGTATAGGTAGAAAATACATTTCTTGTGAGATTGAGGTCACAAAAGATTTTTGAATTAGCAAATCTCTCTCAAATTTGTTTCTAATTTACAGATTACTCCCTCAGGAGCCAGTAGCTCATGCATTTGTTTGCCAAATACCACATCCACATGGATTGAACTTTGAAGTTTGAACACATAATGATGTTCAAGTGTAGCTTCTGTATTATATCAGGAGAAAAACAAGAAGACATCTACGGAATTTTCCAAACCACAAAAACCTGATGAACAAGCGTGAACCCATAAACCAAATCAATCTCTAAAGAGTAGCAAAATCATAAATACACTAAGCAGCAAAACTGGAAAAAACCACCATTAAGATTAGCAGAAGCCCCTAAAAATCCATCCATTCACCGGTTTGTGGCTAAGCTGGTAAAACATTCGAATCCTCCCTCAGTTTCCTTCCTTTTCTTAGACGTCAAATCCCAATCGTGATTTTGTAAACATTCACCGGACGGAAGCTTGTCAGCAAGAAACAAGAATGGTCTGCTGCCCTCATCCGCTTTAGTCCCACTTGTCAACAAGTTGCCAAACACAGGATTAACAGGGCCACCAGGATTATATAATCCCGGCAAGAAGTTGTGTTGTTGAGGATGGTATCCAAGATATTGAGTCGGGCCAATCTGTAGCGGCACTTTATAAGGGTAAGCTTGATGAGGTAAAGGGTGTGATAAAGTTGGAAACTTTGGCTGCAACGAACCGTAACTGGCGAAATGCTGCATGGGACTCGAAACCGGCAGATGATAATCACGTCTGATAGGAATAAAATCTTGATATCCTGATTTCATGGGACCTGAAGTCCTGCTTGTGTTAATAACATTCAATTTCAAGTCTAACAAATGTGGATTTTCAAGTGAAGGTGGAGTGAACTCATCACCGACATCAAAAATTCGATTGAGATCGATGGAAGGAGTCACTGATCGTTTTAAATCGACAGCTGGACAAGATAATACAGTTCCCATGACATCATCTTCAACAGCAGCAACATTTAGGTCGAACCCAGAAAAGCAACACTGGCTTTTTTCTCTGTTTGAGCTTCTCCAAGTAGAAACGGGCCAAAAAGCGCTTGTCTTGCTCGGGCCCGTCCAGCCCAGCCCGCCTCGAAACTCCAAAGGAATCGTGGGCTGTCCACTAAGAACCCCTGTTTTCGCCACAACACGTATCACACCATGAATAAAATCCCCTATTCCATTTTCATTGATATCTTCATTCAGATCGAATTCGGCAACTTTTGCTATCGAGGACTCGGAAGATTCGTATTTGCATTTCGGGTTCCATGTGTTTTCGCCGCCTTCCCTCAATAATCCCTCATGATGATTCATCAAAATCATTGTTTCTCCCGAATGAGTCAGGAGATTCTCGTGTTCATTGCCGCCAAGTCTGACATTATCCGAATTATCAGAATAAACGGAATTTTTTCCGGCGAGATTCTGTAACGAAAAAGGAAAGTTGACGGACAAAGAGTTCGAACAAGAGGACTCAGTCCTGTGTTGAGAGTCATGTGGAGTTATTGCATTTATCTCATCTTCAGCAGATCTTCTAGTGTTTACCTTGAAAGTCACATTCCCAAGAGGTAAACCAGTTTCTCTACTAATTCCGCTTTTTCCCGATTCAAATGTATGACAGTGCGAAGCTGTTGATGTTGAAATTTGAGTGTTCGTGTTTAGAGCTTTGTAGCCGTGGGGACTTTGATTCTTCATTTGCTTGCTCTCGGCCATAGCTGTAAGAGCTGTTTGCAAGAAAACAGCAATATCAACTTTACGAGACAATTGTGCGAACTAATGATGTAACGAGGCCACACTCACTTCTTTTCTCTCACAAATATAAAGAACTAATGATGTAACGAGGCCACGCCCACTTCTTTTCTCTCACAAATATAAAATCTGCATAAAACAAAAATCAGCTCTGTTAGAAATGGGCATGGCTTTTATTATTTTCCTTTTTCAGAAGTAAAATTGTCATTCAGTTTTATAATGTGTTGGGACAATAGTAGTTAGGAAACAAGAAAACTGCAGCTAGAACAAGGGGAACAATGAAAGGTAATGTAATGTAAGGAAAAAAAAAAAACCAAAAAAGTGCCAATTTTTTAACAATTTTTCAAAGGGCCCTTCTGGGTATTATTGGGTATTAAAGTTTTACAATCCTTCATATGTCAATCTATAGCATAAACAGCGGTTTGCAGCTCAAGAATTACAATAAAACTAAAAAGCACAATAATTACTGAGTGAAAATATGAATTTAACTTTCAGTTCCAACCAAATCTTAGGAGAAACTAATAAGCTGATAAACTGGAAAAGTTGAATCCGGGCTCTTATTTTTTCCAGCTCATGAGTAATGTTAAAGCTACAAAAGTGATAATAAGCTGAAAATTTCAGATCTGCGAGAAGAGAGCAGAAGCAGATAGATCTGAACAAACACTAAATGAACAAAGGGGCAAAGCTCGAAACCCAGAAGAAAGGAAAAGGAAATCTAGAAGCCACTAATATATGCCAACCAGAAAGGATTTCAGTAAACTTCACCCTGCCCTTTGTGTAGTCTCTCAAAAGAAAATATAAAGAGAGTTTTAAAACCCAGCACAAAGCAGACCAGACCCTGAAGCTTTTTTTTTTTGCCTTTAAAAAAGAGAACCTATTGGAGAAAACCTATAAACGAGGCATAATTTCACAAATCAAGAATCCAAATTTTGGAGCCCATCTCAAGTAACTAAATGAAAAAAAAAAAGGAAAAAGGAAACAAAAACTGAGAGGACAGAGAAAACAGCAAAGACTTGTGACAAACCTGGAGCATAAAGCCTTGGACTTGGAGCTTGCAGATCTTGCAAAGCTCCCAGCTTTTCAGTTTTAGAAAATCAATAACAAAATAGAAATAAGAGGCCTTGGCTTTTCAGAGAGAAATCAGATGACAAAACGCAAACCAAAACAAAGAAGCAGAGCCCCTTTACTCCTTGATGAAAACCCAGAAAAATAGACAAAAGCATGAGATGACCCTTTCATCTACCATTTAATCTCTCTCTATCTCTCTCTTGGGCCAAGAAAATGAAAGGGACAGAAATGAAATCACTAAAAAATATACGGGAAAAAGAAGCGTAGTCAACAGCTACACGGACATGCCCACATGCCCCCGATAGCAGACAAAGAACAATTGCGCAAACAGTGTGAGCACATCACATACATTTTTTTTTAAAAAAAAAAGAAAAGGCAACAAAAAAAAGGACGGTGTGGTGAAAGAAATGAAGCAAAATTGCGTGGGTATAAAGGGATGGGCCGGCGGCGACACCAGCTTGTGTGTGTACTGTGTGTGTCAGAATCAAAGAGCAGAGGCCGTTGGGACCCTCCAATTTTTTTTGTTTTTCTTATTGTATGTGTGGGGCACAGCCCAGAGCTTGGAGGTACAACAACGATGTCAGTTGGGGCCCACATAACAAGGTGATGTGCATATTTTGTTTTTCACTTTTGGGAAAACTGAGAACATAATCACCATAACCATCATCATCAATGAATGAATTGATTGACCGGTAATATTTTTTTTTTCGTTTTTTCCTCGAGTAGAGTGTTTTGTTAATTCAACTCAATTCGATAAGATTAAAAAGATCACCTTTTTATATGATTAAATTCAATGTTAAAAGATTTAATTTTTATACTTCCTTTTAATAAATGTGATTTTAAAAAATTGTATAATAATTAAGAATATTTATTTTTGTCAATAATAACTCTCATTAATGAGGATAGAGATAGAGATAGATGTTTTGAGAAAAGATGTAGTGTATTTATTAGCTAGATGAGAGTAATAATAGGAAAAGATATACTCCCTCCTATTTTTATTATTTGTCATCTTAGCTTAATTGATCATTTGTTAAATAAATGTCGTTTTGGCTATTTTGTACATATTTTTTCATTATTACCCTCATCTAACTAATAAATACACTACGTCTTTTCATATTCACTCTCCATCTTTTCTCAAAACATCAATCTCTATCCTCATTAATGAGGGTTATTATTGGCAAAAAAAATATTCTTAATTATTGTGCAACTTCTCAAAACGACATCTATTAAAAATAGGAGGGAGTACAAAATATTCAAAACATCATTTATTTTGTTAATTATTCATAAAGCCAAAATGACATTTATAAAAAAAATGAAGTAGTATAATTTTTATAATTTGACTCACTAAGAGCATCTCCAATGTCACTTTTGACATTAGAAAAAATCATTCATATCATCAACTTTTGAAAGTATCTTACTAATTTTATTCTCCAATGCATATTGTCATGAACTCTTTCATGATGAGGTGGATGGCATTTAATGTTAACAATGTTGAGTCCACTTTCTAATATCTAACACCATGTTAAACATGATGACTCATCAATTCACTTAAATTTTGATTTAATTTTTTTTATTCTTGTATCAATGAATTATTTTAATTGGTCCACCGATACAAATAACTTCTTATCAAAGTTATGAATTGGAGATACTAGTTTGATTGAAATTTTCATTCTTTTAACATTATTCATATGTAGATTAACATTACAATCATTGATTGACATGTGTTAAAAATCATTGTCTTTCAAAGCTATAGCATTAGAGATGCTCTAATAACTTGAAATCAACTGTAAATGAGTTGAGATAGAGTTCGAGTACTACAGACTCACTCGAGCTCGTTTGATTTACACCCTATTGACCAGAAAATAATGGAGTCTTAGTAGTACACAGTGACCTATTGACAGCAAGAAAGAAACCATTGCACATTTTCCAAAAAAATAATGATAAAAAAGATGTCTTGAGGTGCTAAAAGAGAGGACTTTGATTAACTTCATTTTTCTTGTGCATTTAATCAAAAGTCGAGATAATGATGAGCTGTGTTTCCAAAACAAAATGATGCCTTTCCTACAACACATGCATTCCAACATATTTATTTCATAAATGATAAAGGTTTCGTCACAATTACATTAATATGCAGGGTCAAATACTCAATTGAATAAAACATGATAATGAATTTCCAACTGCTAATTCCTTTCTAAACCCATCAATCCATGGTTTTTGAGGGCATTGAGAAATATTTCAATCTTTGTGTCCTCACTAGGTTTTTATTGTTGGATGTGATCGAGTGTATGATTCAATTTCAACAATTATAAAAGAACACCTTTATTCAGTTGTCACAGTAACAATTAAAATCTCTCTCAATTATTGTAGTTGCTTGCAGTATAAGAAAGAGAGTAATCCACTTGAATTATTTGTTAGATATATGTTGACTTAGAAAAATGCCAGCTTGCAGTGATGTTTCCTTTGGCCTTAATTACACTTATTCTGGACTGCAATTTTTATTACAATGGACAAATTTTACATCATTGTCTGAGATTCATGTTGTTTTAGTTAAAGACTCCAACTTTTACCACTAGCTATGGCCCTTAAGAGACATTAATTTATTTCCCTGAAATTTTGGTCAGTTTACATTTGATGGGAATTAGATGCTCCCTAGCTAGACCCATTGTAGGCCTGATGTTGACAAGATTCCTCAGACAAAGACTGCATTTTTATTGTACCCAATCCCACCCCTTTCAATGTTTAACCTCATTCAAGACAAGAAAAAAGCCAAACATCATTAATCTTTCTTGTTCTCAATCACACAAATCGAGTGATGATGATGTTAGGTAGAGGTAGGAATGAAACGAGGCGCTTCTGATCTTCGATCAACTCAGCTCGTTTGATAATCGAGTAGAGCTTGAACTTATTAAAAGATCATTTAATAAAATATTGGGTTCGACTTGGCTCATTTGAAAATGAGTATTTATGTAAGGTTCGAGTTCGACTGGATAAATGAGCCAAGCTCGAACTCGATTAATGTCTTGTTTAGTTAACGAGTCGACTCGTAAAGGGCTCGAGCACCATGAGTTCAAGTTCGAATTCGACTCAACTCGTTTACAATCCTAGATAGGCCTAATAATTATGCAGTCAATAGTTTTCAATAGATATGCATATTTTAAACTGAAATATCATATATTTAAAAAATAATGCAAACTACAATAGTATATTCATACAATAAAAATACATTTTATTAGAAAAAAAATATGACGGTTCAACCCGTTTAACGATATGATCTAATATAAAAAAAAAATTGCTTAAAATATTATATATGGATCCCTATTTACTTAGCACTACATTCCTACAATAATAGGAAGTGATGGTTCAGTTTTAGAAGAATATTTTTCTTACTGTTATTATTATATGCTGTTTTTCTAATGGATTGCCACAACATCAACCTCAACTATAATAGTAAATGCGTGTATATGAGTGTTTGTAGAATTGAAGTCATGAAAAAGTTGAAAGCGACCATGAAAAAGGACTCATTGTTGGGTAATATGA